AAGCAAAGATGGCACATGAAGCCAGTTATTTGACAGAAAGTAGGGGGAGTTGGTGAGAGGTATGGAAGAAATCAAAAGAAGCGGGAAAAAGCAACACCAGCAGCCAACAAATGGCACTCGGGGAGCTGGCCAGTGCAGGCGGGTGGAATCCAAGTGGCACTGTGGCCACAGGAAGCAGAGGAGACCGAGTGGAGGTGAAGAAGGGTAGGGGGTGGGAAAGCATATATCGCTGGTCACTGGTTGTTCTATCTCCTGCTGGAAGCTCCATGAAGCTACTTTCTCGTACCCCCTGTTCACCGATCTCTGATGGGAGTCCAAGATGTCGGATCTGTGCTGCGTTAGCTGATAGGGGACCTCTGTATGTATGTCTCCTTGCTGTCTGTTCTCTGTCAGTTTCTTATTCCATTCGGTGCTTGGCTGAGTTCTTTATCTTTTCATTTGAGGCTTAGGGTTTCAGACTGACGTTTGTCTCTGTTTGGCTTAGTTTTTCGGATCTTTGCTGTGGAGAGATGGCACGGTGCTTCTGTCTATAGCACCATGTTGCCTGGAATTCCTTGCTATAAAAATCTTGTATTTGGTTTTTGATGCCCATATATATGCATTTCTGTTACAAAATATGTAGGAATAGAATTACTTAGTAAAGTTTTCCAAATAGCTTTCCAAGGTGGTTGTGAAAAGTTATATTCCTATCCTCAGGATATTGTTGTTTTAGTCATCTATTGTTACATAACAAACCACTCCGAAACTTAGAAGCTTAAAACAGGAATATGCTATCATCTTTCATAGTACTTTGAGTTGACTGGGCTTAGCTGGGTGATTGTCACTTGAGGTCTTAAGATAGCAGCTGGGGATAAATCAGCTGGGCTAGGTGTTCAATATAGCCTACTCAAATAGCTGGCAGTTAATGCTCACTATCAGCTGGGAGCTCAGCTAGAATTTCACCAGTGAGGCTACAGATGGCCTCTTTGTGTATCTTGGGCTCCTCTCAGCATAGTAGCTAGGTTATGAGAGGGAGCACATCAAAAGAGTGAGGATTCCAAGACACCCAGGCAAAAGCTTCAAAGCTTGTTATGACCTAACTTTGGATGTTACACAGTGTCACTATCCTCACTCTGTGGGGTTTTCTTCTCTTTTATGTCTTTTAATTTGCATAAAACTTTCTTTTGTAGATTCCTCAGAATTTTCTGCAACCGTAATCATGTCGCCTGCAAATAAAGTTCTAATTCTTTTTTCTAAACTGACCGCCTTTTATTTCTCTTTCTTATGCATTTCGCTGTAAATGAGAGTAAAATATTAAACAGAAGCAATGAGAACAGATATTCTTGCCTTGATCCCATCCTTGGGGGAGAGTTTTCAATATTTCACCATTAATTATGATGCTAGAAGCAGGTTTTCATAGATTCCCTTAATCGGATTGAAGAAGCTCTCTTCTAGTTCTAATTTGCTGAATTTTTAAAAAATCGTAAAAGTCTACTAACTTTTTAAATGCTTTTTTTAAAAAATAAATGTCTACTTTTTTCAAATTCATCTTCTGCAGTAATTGACAGGCATATATGATTTTTTCTTTTATAACGTTAATGTGGCAAATGATATTGATTTTTGAATGTTAAACCCCACTTGGTCATGAGGTATCGTAAATATTATACATGTTGAATTAAATTTACTTATATTTCAGTAAGAATTTTTCTATGTTCATGAAGAGTATTGGTCTGCAATTTTCTTTTCTTGTAATGTCCTGGTCAGGTTTTTGTATCAGTCTTACACTTTGCCTCATGAAATGAGGTTCCTGCCTCCTTTATGTACTAAGAAGTTTTGGGAAAGTTTGGCATTATTTCTTCCTTAAGTGTTTCATATAATTCCACATGCAATGACATCATGATTAATTAAATTATCACCTGTGGTTGATTGTGATGAAGAGACTATGAAGCAAGTACCCTGAAGGACAAAGTGACTACTGTTATTCATTGCTATGGTGGCAATAATGACTACAAAGACTAAGTGGTGTACTGTCTGATTCTAACTGTACTGGAAAAAATAGACACAAAGCAAATTATAAGCTCAGGTCTTATCTCTTAGGTCACATCATAGTCAAAAACTACATAATTTGGATTTTTGAGGGGCTATATACTATATTTGATCAGCTGCTCTATTTACCAAATACACCCTTAAGGCTTTAAGTTTTGAGTTAATTGCAGTGCAAAGGAACGCTCTGAAACAAGTCGAGGCTGCAGTGTAAGAAATTTTACAACTTGGGGTTTATAACTCAGAATATCAAATTATATACTTGAAGTGTCTGTGACAATTAAGAACGCTATATGCAATCTCTGGCAAGCCCCACAGTGCAGAACTCTAGGATTTTTGTTTAAAAGTTACGTTCTGTTTTTTTTAAATAAAAAAGAACACAGTGGTCCTTTTGGAAAAAGTTCCTGACCTATTATTGGACTCTGGTAGAGACTAAATGCCTGGCCATAGGATATCAAATGAATATACGACCTGAACTGCCCATCACGAATTAGGCATTACATGACTCACCGAGCCAAAAGGTTGGGCATGTACAACAGAAATCCATTATCAAGTGAAATGTATATATGACACTAGGCTTCAGCAGTTCAGAAAGCACAAATAAGTTGCATGAATAGGTGGCACAGATTCCTATACCACCTGTTCTTGGTGTACTGCCCTATTTATAAGAAATAACACCTACAATCTCATGGATAGTTCTTTATGAACAGTGTCTGAGGAGGAAACCATTACATCTTGGTTTGCAAATGGTTCCTCACAATATGCTGGCACAGTTGGAAGTGGACTGTTACAAACTTAAGCACAGTAAACCTGAAAGGCAGTGCTGAAGGGAAATTATCCGAGTGGCAGAATTTCATCAGTACATTTAGTTGTTCTTTTCTTCTGAACTCAGAGATGGCCAGAAATACAGATCCACACTGAATCATGGCTAAAGATTTGGGTAACATATTTTTCCATTTCATAAAAATTTCAAATTTATGGAAGTGAATTGTAAAAATGGCATGGTGGCAGCATCTGACTTCTTCTAACTTCACAAGGGGGAAGGACAATCAAGGTCAACAACAAAGGCCGATTCCTATGAGGCAGAGGTCAGACATGCCTCCTCTCTCCACCATCCTTACCGATTCTGACACCAACCATCCCTCCCATGGCACTTTCTACTTCTCTACTGAATTCAATAATTCATTGCAATGGCCACACAGAACTCACAGACAGTACTCACAATTACGGATTATTAGGGATAAGGATACAGTTCTTCCATTAGCACAGCCTCTTCTCAGCTGTGCCCACAGGCATGCCTCTCTCTGGCCCGTTGACTTCTGCCTTGCTCGGACAAGTGTTACAAAGCTCTTTTAGCTCTGCTGAGAGGTGCCCTGAGGCACCCCACTCCACCAGTAAGCCTCGGCTGGAAGATGCTCAGCTCTAGCTTCATGGTTCATCAAACCTAGCTCCACCAGTGTCCAGAGACACCCTACCCCTCCAGCAAGCTTCTTGCCAAAGGTCACCCAACTTTCTTGCCCCATGGACTGGGAAGCCCACCGCACAATCTCCTGTCAGTCTCCTGCCAGTCTCCTGGTTCTACTGCCTCTGCTACTGCCATTTCTCTGCCACTGCTTTTCACTGTCTTGCCATCTTCAGTGTTACAGCTCTCTCTCTCTCTCTTTCTCTGTCTCCTGGTTCCAGGAGCGTCTTAGTACAGGGATCCCAGGTCCAAAGAGCACATTCCACTCCTGGCTGTTCTTCCTTGGTGGTAGTGAGATCCTCTCTTTCCCACCTCTGGGATGGCTCACCTTAAGCCTAGCAAGATGGTAAAACTGACCAATTCCTTTGTTAGGGTTCCATAGACCTTATTTGCATGGTCCCACCCAATCATTTGGGTGGGAGTTACAAGACTATGGCAAGAAAGGTCATATAAAAGCAATCCATCTCACCACATGAATAGTTTTTTTTTTAATATCTTTATTTCACCTTGAGTCTTAAAATATTTTCATTGAGTATTATCTAAGCTAACATTTATTTCTCTCAGGACATTAAAGATAACTTTCCATTGTATTCAGACTTCAATATTGCTACTGATAAATCAGCTGTCAGTCTAACTGTGGTCTTCTCTATATAATCTGCCCCCACCTCCCCAGCTACTCTTAAGAATTTCCCTTAGTCATTGTATTTCATTGGTGTTCTTCAGTTTCACTGAAGGAAAAGAAGCTAGGAGATCTAAAAGGAAACTGCTGGAATTGATATGGAATATGGGTGACTGGTGAGAAATGAGATTGGAGAGGTCTCCATGGACAAGGTCATGTAGTCTTGAATAGAAAGATGAAGGACAGGAACTTTATTTGGATGAATCATGTAAGAGTTTTGAGATGGGAGTGACACAGACAGCTGGTGCTATGACCTCTAGGACTTCTTCCTCCAAGACTTAGGAAAAATTGTCAGCATAAACTTTCTGTTCAGGGAAGAAAAAACTAGCATTCACTGACCACATGCTTTGTGTCAGGACTTTTGTGAGCTGTTTTATACATACTCTTTCATTGATCTTTCACAATAACCTGGTTACCTGTTGTCATCAAGCTGATTCCAACTCATGGTGACACCATGTGTGCAGAATAAAACTGCACTCCATGGAAGCAGATAGCCAGGTCTTTCTTGCGAGGTGCCTCTGAGTGGGTTTGAATCACTAACCTTTTGGTTAGTAGTCAAACACTTAATCATTTGCGCCATCCAGGGACTCCATATAACCTGGTTATATAGAACTTATTTTCCTGCTTTACAGAGCAGTAAAGTGAGGCATAGAGATATAAAGTGACTTGCTCAATAAGTGAGATAGATAGATTTGAACTCAGGCCTCTTGGACAGAAATCCACATATGCCAGAGCATTCATACAATCCATCACCGAGAAGTCCATTAATTTTTAAAGAATCAAAACCTCAGAGAGACCACGTACTTTCCACTCAAGGCTGTGGCTTTGAGCAGTTCCTCATTCGTATGCCTGTATCTCTGAGTATTCCGTGTTGATGTCCTCCTGTTCCTGCAGCTTCAGCTTGTTGAAGTTAATGAATGCATAGTAGGGCTCTTGTTCCTCTCTTGAGGTAGGGCCATCCCCAGCAGGGGCAGGGTGGTCTGAAGGGGTGCCTTTCTGGAGCTGGTGCTGGTGCCCCAGAGCAGAAGGAAGAGAACGGATTCAGATCAGGGCAGTAGGGTCTAGGATAAAGTAGCCAAGGACCAGAAAGAAATTGGGACTGATGAAACTTTTGTTATTTATCCATTCATTTATTCAAAAATACCTAATAATTCAGATTGGCCAGCCTCTAGTGAGTGTTTATACTAATCACATTATGTTCTCAAAAAATGCTGTAGAGAGGATAGTCTTATCGTATTCATCTTACAAATAAAAAACTGAGGCTAAGAGAGTTTATATACGTTGCTTGAAGACATACACACACATATATAAATGCACCACTGAGTCAAGGGTCAAAACCAGTTCTTTCCAACTACAGGGGCTGCCGTCTTATTAATTGTCTGGTAGTGTGCTCAGTGTTGGATGTAGAGTGATGATGAAAGCCGATACAGTCCCTGTTATTGTGCAGCTGATGTCTTTCTAGGAGAGACAGTTATTAAATAAATAGAAAATAAATGCATTTCAAGTTGTAAGTTTGTGATGGGAGATATTTTGAAATATAAATCAGGGGTAGAGATGGCATAACTGGTTTCTGGACAGGTACTAGAAGACAGACAGAGACCAGGTCCTGCAGTAAAGGTGATAACCAGACACCCTCTTCTATATTTGCCCATCCCTTAGTACCTTACAGAAGAATGGATAGAAACTCTGGAGAAAGAGCTCCAGAAAATCTGCATTGTGATTCCTCTTGAATCTTTGGCTGAATATTCAGCTGCACATGCATACAATGAGATGCCATAAGTTTGAGAAAAAGAATTCTATTTGAGAAAGAATAATTATGAGGATGCAGTTGGAATCAACTCGATGGCAATGGGGTTTTTGAGTTTAGAGTAAAGGCTAATCTAAACTCCCCCAACAAAGCTTTTATTAAAAGCTTTGAATGGGGGAGGCGGAGCCAAGATGGTAGAGTAGTCAGATGCTTCTGGTGGTCCCTCTTACAACAAAGACCAGAAAAAAACAAGTGAACCGATTATATATGACAATCTAGGAGCCCTGAACATCAAAGGCAAAGTTGAGGAATCAGACTGAGTGGCAGACAGAGAGAGAAAGATGGTTTGGAAATAGTGAGGAGTTGCCAGACCTTACCCGGCAGGAGCCGGCACCCTTCAGGATGGATCGGCTGGTGAGCGCAATGAGGCAAGCAGTGGTGCTCAGGAGGTGTTGTCCCCATCGGGACAGATCTAGTGGTAGAGAGTCTACTCCAGCCTCCAGAACCAGTGAAAAGCAGCACTCAATTGGCAAAAGATAGTACAAGTGTCTGACCTACCACATGGATCAAAAAACACCCCCTTTGGGAAAAACACTCTCCCATTTACCTGCCCCCTCCCTGCTCTGCACCGGTGCCGGGCTGGCTTCAGCGATTGCCAAGTCTCCTGGCCTGGAAGTAGGACCCGTCACACACCCTGAACCATTCTGTTGGCCTTGGACAGGGAGCAAATTAACAAACAGGAAAAAATAATCTGCCAGCTCCCCTAAGCCGGGAACTCAGGGTAAGCACAGCTCCTTTGCCTAGGTACAGGCATAAGGGGTCCACAGACTTTGAATGTCTTTCACTCCTGCATAGACCTGTGTGGGCCGATTTTAACTGCGTAGGCCCTCATTACTACAGTACAACAGAGTATATACCTGAAGCCTAACTTCAACTGCATCGGCTATATGGTAAAGTGGCAGGTTTGTGACATTTGATGCTGCTTTGCCCATTAAGCAGGAGCTTCACCTACCCACATCAGGGGCCTGAGGACTGGTGTTTCCACCCACGCCACCTAGCCACCCACAACAGGGGTCCAAGAATAAGTGGTGCCTCCCAGTCCTTACAGCCAATAGCAGTGGGTGCTTATAGTCTGGCTGCAAAACTCACCCATCTATGTGCTCTAGGGAACAGGGACACACTTTCCTCCCAGACACACAGGGGCAGCCATCAGCCGCTAGCTTGCTCAGCAAGTGACCCCCTACTGCAGCCAGATACCTGTGCCTACACTAATCATTCCTCACTGTCTAGGACTGTAGGTGAGAGCCTATACCACGCATTTGGTGACCGACTACCTGGACACCTAAGCTGAATCCATACAAGAGAAGTAAACAGACTCCTGGGCTCAGATACCTAGTAACAGATCTAACCACTGGGTGACAGGACGTGAGAGCTTCAAAGGTGCCAATAATCAAACTAGCTCACATGAGCAGCAATTTGGGCATATCAAAACAAAACAAAATAAGAAGCTAGGACACAGTAAGCAAACATAAAATAAATAAATATAATAACTTATTGATGGCTCAGAGACAACAGTCCATATCAAATCACATGAAGAGGCAGGCCATGCTGGCTTCCACAAACTCCCAAAACAAAGAATCAGAAATTTTCTGGAGGTAAAGAACTTCTTGGAATTACCAGAAGTAGAATAAAAAAGAATAATATACAGAACTCTTCAAGATATCGGGAAGATAAGTCAAAATGCAGAACAAGCCAAGGAACACACAGACAAAGCAACAAAGGAACTTAAGACTAGAGAAGAGCATAATGACAAATTTAACAGGCTGCAAGAATCCATAGACAGACAGCAATCAGAAATCCAGAAGGTTAACAATA